GTTTAGTTAATGTAATTTGCTCATTTTTTTTTTTATTGAAAAAACAATCCTGCAGAGATGACACTTCTTTTTTTCTTCCCTGTTCAAGTCAGGAACACAGCAGCACAAACAAGAAGCTATGAAATACAGGTTAACCTCTTTATCTTTTTATTATTATTATTATTATTATTATTATTATTATTATTATTATTATTACTATTTTGAAATAACCTTTCCATCACTTTATATTAACTCAGATGGAAACTGAATCTGAAATTGAAAAACAAATTTTAATGTTTATATTCTCAATCTCTTTTAGGGAGAGAAGAGGATATCCCAGCTCTGGGAACACCTCTCTGCTGCCTCCTACAAACAGATGGAAGATTTGAGTCAGGTCTGGTCCAGTGAAAGACAGTAAGCATCAATTTATTCTTTCTAACTGAACAAATTCATCAGTTTTGCAGTCCGGCTCTGTTAAAATAAAAACAGAACAAAAAATGTAAGAGCTTTGTGTGAGCTTTTGAAGGTCTGCCAGCAGTAGTAAAACTTTGGAGCTGGCTCAACTTCTTAGTTTTTAGTATCAAGACCCTTATACCTTTATAGAACCGGTAGCCACAGACGTATGCTGTCATTTGCAGGGAGACTTACTGGAAATGGTATGACATACTTTTTGGTAAGTTTAATTATTTGGAATTTTAATAGTTCTTATAATTTCATATAATGTTATATTATCTGTGTGCTCAGAAAAGCATTCTTGTGAGGACTGCCAGGGAATACTGGCTGCTAGGGCAGCGAGCAACAGGGACAGCCCCTGCAGCACTTTCTGTGTGATTAATATTTTTCTCAGTTTGGCCTTCTTTACATTCTTTCACATATTTTTAACATTTTTTCAAGGCATGCAGCAAAGCGAAATATGAATCCCTCTTATCTACTATGATTAACTCCTAAAATAATTGTGTTTCTTTTCTCTTTTGTTTCATACAATTTATTTTAGCATATGCTTTACACAAACATTGACTTGTGCTAGGCAATTTAAGGTTTGTTCTCTTGGAATTTTGTTTGTATTTGGTCCTTACGTTTTAGAATTATATTAACACAAATAACTATTCTAAGAAGGATGATGGCAATGCAGGTAAAAAAGAAGAGATCTGACATTTTCAATTCTCTTTCTGTATAATGGGAAAACACTGGTCCTACTGCAGAGCAGTATTTTTAAAGAGGACATTTGTAACAAATTGAGACAATTTATAACATATTGTAACAAACTGAGACAGAATTCTACACCTGTGCCTATAAAATTTACTCTATCTTTACTGTCCTGTGAGAGAGACATACTGCTATCTACCTGTTTTGTAGCTTGCAGTAAATACCGTGCAGGTCATTTCTGGTTGCACGTTGTATCATTGCAAGGGCAACGATAAACAGGGAGAGACTGGTTACCTCCAACTGGGATAATTCTCGTTAATAAAGAAGTATTTGATGCCTCTTCCACATTGCAGTAGTTGATTCAGACTGCTAACTGTTACGGAGGAGAATCATTAACACATAAGTTTGTCTGGAAAATCTATCTTACTTTTTGAAGTATAAAACAAACCTCACACTCTACAAATCAAACCTCACCATCTAATCAAATGGTATTTTTTCCAAAAATAATGCGAAAGAAGAATTTTGAAATGTTATCTAACTTTTTCCTCAGAATTTTTTGAACCACTTCAGTCGTCTTAGAAAGTCTCCAACTAGCAGAGCTGGACAAGCTTAAACATCATTTCCAGCCGTAAAACGGTTTCGAGCAGTCCACGAAAGATCTCTTGCCCTGGTTTTGTTCATAAAAAGCAAAGCTGGAGGTTTATCCTCTAGGAAACGGGTCCTGGCTTTGCAGGCAGGGTGTGCGGAGCGGCTGCTTTCTCTGCATGGACCATGGGGTGGCAGTGGCCCTCCACGCAGCCCGCGCGGCACCGCGCGCGGCCCTCGCCACGCCGAGGACACCAAGAAGGCACCGCCAAGGCCCCGGCGCCTCGCTCGGCCTTCTTGGCAATGCTCTTGGCAAAATACTGGCGTTGGGTCGTTAAGTGGCTGGCGAATAATATCTTTGGGATAGCAATAATGCCGTTTTCCCCAGGAGAGGGGAAACAAACCTGGGTGTCTGTCCTCTGTGTTTCCCTCACCTGGTGATGGATTGGAGGAGCTCTTACACCCAAGCGTGTGAGAGAGGGTTTCCAACCTGCTCTGACAGGTATTACCCGCGGCGTGCTAAGTACTTTATAATACAAATACGTTCCCTGAAAGCTCAAATGAGACGTTTTAGCACACGGCCGTGGACGACAGCAGGAGCTGAACCATCTGTTGGGGCATTAAGTGAGGGATGGCAAGTTAGGAAGCCCTTGTTCTACAGGGAAGAATCATCTTCAGGGTGTTGGGGCCTTTTGTTTCTAGGGGAGACTTTACATTTATGCCTGGGCATTTGCAGCTTCCTTGCATGGCCTCGAAGGCTTTACAGTGTTTGATGACGAGTGCCGCCTGTTTGTTGCACAATGTTGAATATGTTTTGTGTTGATCTCTGTGTTCGGCTGGTCACTTGATTTTTGTCAGTGACTCTGTTTCCATATAGAGCAACAAGGCCAGAAGAAGTGTTGGGAATTTCACAGAATTTTCAAATATATTCAGGGAGGGCAACAGTGACAATATTCTATAATGAAGAAAGCCTTGTTCTTCAAGGAAGCCTCAAGAATTCACATTAAGGCTTTGGAGGCTAAGCTTTGACCTTGCTGTTTAATTTCGGACTATAAAATTGCCAGAACAAAATCAAAGAGCGCATCTCCAAACAGGGAACCTAGCACAAGCCCTAATTCTGATCACAGGAATGCGTAGTGGAGCCATGGAATTGGTTTTAAAGAAGAAAACATTTTCCTTAATTTGCATTTTTAAAACATGTTTGTTTGTTTTTTTTTTTCTGTTCTTCTCCCCACGCCTGGTAAATTGTGAATTTCTCTTTTGGCTGTGCGTGAGAAGGAAACTTTGTTTTGTTCTACAACTATATTGATCATCACGTAGCTCGAAAATATCAAAGTGCAAATGCGTTACTTTCTGAAGGAGTCGATCTTGCCATAATTACAACAAATTGACTGTCACAGCTCCACAGTTTCCTTAACTGGGCTTTGAAGTGATACTTAGTCTCACCCGAAAGTGAGCAAAGGGGTGAAAAATCAGCTTGGAGGGAGGAACTGGTTGGCAACCGTGTTAGTCTGGTAGTGTTTTGAAAGGGAAAGGATCCCGGTGCTGCTTGGACCCTGCATTGCTCTTGCTGAGAAACGGATATAATATTCCCGAAGGGGAGGGTTTGGGGGCAGAGACAGGCTGGTGTGTGCGCTGGTGGAGCGTCGTGCTCCTCGGTGGCCGGGGTCAATGTCCATCGCTCGGAGCGGGAGGGAAGGACAGGGAAGGGGAGGGAAGGGAAGGGAGCGCTCAGCGGGGACCTCTGCTGCAGCCGGGGGGTCTGCCCCATGCCGGGGACTTGGGGGGCGCCCCACGAGCGGCGGCCGCTCGGCCTTGCCCTGCCCGGCGCTGCCTCTGCAGACCCTTCCCGCGGCCCCACGCAGCCTCCGGAGATCCCGGCTGGCTCCCTCCCAGCCTCCGGGAAGGGATTTGATGTCAAGGGTAAGGCAAGGCGGCCGGCGCCGCCGAGGCGCCACCCACCCACCTGCTCCTGCGGGAAGGGCTCCGGGCTCCAGGTGAGCTCCAGGTGAGCTCCTGCCTTCCCAGGTGAGCTCCAGCCTTCCCAGCACAGCACAGTCCCAACTCCAGTGCCTGGGCCCGGCCCCAAGGCACCACTCACCCCAAGCACCCACCAAGTTGGTTCCCCCTGCTAATGATTCTCCTAATTCACACGCGGGACGCAGAACTTCCCATTTTAGGCAACTTTATAACCGGGCTTAAATTAGAATGTCATCTGACAAGGCACAGTTCCCACATCCACTGTCTTCTGGCAACTGAATAAATCTAGTGACAGGCGAAGGTTGGAGTGGAGTTGTAGGGTGCAACAACTGTCCTTGGGTAAGCAGGGCATGTTGCATGCAGGTTGCTGAAGGGAAAGGGAAGGAGAAATAAACTGTTACTGGCTTTCAAGCATCTAGGCTCTTATTTCAAACTTAATTTAATTCTTATGGAGAAAGAGTTCCTTTAGGAGCAGCCAAAGTTTAATCAGTAACACAACAGCGATTTAGCTCAATTCTCAGTATCTTAGTCATACGGAGAAGCTGCTGCAACTGATTAGAAACCCCATTTCATTGAAATATTGCATGGAAGCATGAAAATTCCAGTGCGGAAAGGCAACAGTCACTTCATCATTCCAGATCCCATGTTAACGCATCACCAGCTCCTGCATTCAAAGCCTTCTTACACAAGTTTAATAGTTGGGGGACTAATAACCACCCACAACCCTTCATTCGGAGTGATTATTCTAAACACAACTTAGCAGAGCTGGGGCATCACTACTGAGAACCAAATCATCTGTGGGGTGGGGAGAAAAGAATCATCACCCTATGGGAATGTCTATGGATTAGCTGCTTTTGTGGATGTTTCCAAACACTTTGTCAATAGCAGCCCCTCAGTAATCAATTACTTTACCAGGTCCATTCACAGTTTACAGACAGATGATCTGGAAGTTGGGAACATACATTCAAATAAGACTTTCCAAGTTACAAGACTTATTATTCACTGCAGGTAATTTTATTCTTTATGTTCTCTACATATTTGAGCTGGTACTCAGTAAAATCGTAACAGAAGGTGTAAGCATTGGGAAAGACAAATCAAAGCCACAAACCGGTCCCCAAGGAATAAAGCGAGCAATCAGTTCAATAAACACACTTGATTTATTTTGTATAAAAAGGGTTAAGTTTACAACTAAACTTTTATAAAAAGTTTAGCATGATTAAGTACATCATTACACTTTTTGCAGAAATTTACATTTCTGCCACTATACAAGAAAACTCTAATTAAAGAGTTCACAATGTTTCACTCATATATATATATTTATATATAAATATATACACAGCATTCAGCCCTAGGTTTGTGTCAAAAAGGTAATTTCTGACCACAGACTTCCCTAAAACACTGAACACTGGATCCTTCTGGTACTCACGCTCCACCTTTGGAAAAAAAAGGCAAAGTCTGCTTAAAATGGGCAACTCCTTGTAAGATTTTGTTTCGCTCCCCACGTTGGGAATAGTATATAAAGGAAGCCTTCCATCTAGGGAAAGGGTATTTAAGAGTCTCTTCATAAATAACTAGGTTCAGTCCAAGTTGAAGAATGGGGTGGGGATAAAGAACAATCTTGATTTTTTCTTCTTTATTAATTTTAAAAGGTCCTTTCAGATGTGGATTTCCCCTCCAGATACAGCTGAAAAATAAATTCAGCGCCTCAAAAAAAAAAATTCTGTAGATAATCTTGTGCAAAGAAAAAGAAAAAAAAAGAGAAAAACAACAAACAAAAGAAGCTCATCAGTGGAACACCTGCAAAAGATTGAAAAGAGGCGTATTTAGGAGAATGCTGCTAACAGGGCAGAGATCCGGACAGACTGGCGCCAGGGAGGAAGCCACAGTTTGAACATTTAACCAAACACTCCAAGATTGGGCAAACGCTGGCGTCCAGATGCAGCGCGTACATGCTCCCACCCTGGCTCTCAAGAGCACAAATTGAACATTAAAATAACACGCACTCCAGGGAAAGGGGAGCGGGGAGGGCGCTCGGTCCGAGGCGCCAGTCTGCCTCGCACAGCAGTTATTTGATTAAAAGCAGTCGCTCGTTCAACTGATAGCGCAGACAACCCCACATCCCCAAATTTAGGGAATTGCGCCAAGATTCCCAACTTCATCAGTCACTCTGGCCCGGGAAGTTAAGACTTCGGGAAGAGATAACCAGAGAATTGGCACTGAGCAGGGAGCAGGATCAGAGCAAACAGCCTGTGCTGCTTAATTACCCTTAGAAACTGGAATACACTTTGGACTATCACGCTCAAGTATTAGCCTAATTTTTATGGTCGGATTGCTGGTTATAAAGGCATCTCCTAATCAACTTTTTATGACAGATTTCTTAAAAATAGTAACAGCCTCATAAGCAGAATTTTTCCATTCTAAATGGGGAAAAAAACAACACTTTCACCTGAAGTTTGAAAACGAGATTGACTTTACTCACCGTTTGATTTAGCCACAAAGTGCTTTGCTGTCATTTGACATTAGTTCTGACGGGAATTCGGATGCCTGCAAGGAGAGAAGGAAACAAAACAGAGCAGTGTTAAACGCCTCGGCGGCCAAACAAACACAGAGAGTACTCGGGCTCGGGAAGTGCTTCCCTCACGTCCCGTTTTGACAGAGCAGCGCCTAGCAAAGCTCGCAAGGGGCGGCTTTGGGGGAATTTCTGTGCCCTGTCACGCGAGCCCCGCTCCTCCCGCGGGCGCGGCGCGGCCCCGGGCGCGCTCACCTGTAGGGACAGGATGCTGATGTCCGTGTTGAGGGCGCTCAGCGGGCTGCGCGAGGCCGCGCTCTGCCCGCCTCGCTGGTGGTGCAGGCTGACGATGGCGGGGTGCGAGTCCAAGGCGATCTGCAGGTCCAGGATGTAGTCGATGACGTGCTGCAGGATTTCCATCTTGCTCACCTTCTTGTTCTGCGGGATGCTGGGCACCAGCTCCTTCAGCTTGGAGTAGCAGTCGTTCATGTTGTAGAGCAAACTCATGGGGTCATCCACGGGCGTCTTGCTGCGGGAGATGCCCAGGCTGTGCTCCGAGAGGCTGTTTTTCCTCACGGACCGCACGGGGCTGAAAGCCTTCATGCTGAGGCGGCGGGAGCGGGTCAGGGAAGCTCGCTCGCGGGCTGCCGCGGCCTCCTCGGGGCGCAGAGTGCGGCGGCCGCCGCTCGGCGCCGCCTTTATAGCGCGGGCGGCGGGGCGGCGAGGCGCGGCCTGCGCGCGCCGCCATTGGCGCCCGCCCGCCCGCCCGGCAGGCGCCGCGCGCCGCTCCGCGCTACAAATAGCGCCGGGGCGGCCGGGGGAGGCCGTGGGGAGTCGGCGGCGGCTGTGGGGAGCCGGCCCAGGCGGCAGCGCCGGGGCCGTCGCTAGAGCGGGCGTCGCGATCGCGGCCACGGGCTCGCGGAACCCGCCGCGCTCTCCCTCGGGGCTCGTCCCTCACAACAGTCACCCAACCCTCTAATATTCCCCTATCTCGGACAGCTAAAGCGGGAATAAAATAACACCGCGGAGGGCGAGGATGCCGCCCTGCTGCGGGCGGTCCCCGGGCGGGAGGACCGATCTAATATTTACTGTTACAACAAGGTGCCGGTGCAGGCTGAGGCTGCCCCAAGTCGCTCTGAGGATCAAGCGGCTCTTCCAAGCGCCTCTTTAAAACACGGCTGCATCCATCAGGGGTCCCGCTCGGTGGCAGCGCACGGCGGGCTCTGCGTTTATGTAGGACATATAAGTGTAAAACATAAAGATAGGGACATAAGTGTAAAACATAAAGATAGGGACGTATATAAAATCAGCTGCAACTTTCTTTCCCGGTGACAGAACCGTGCTGCAAAGCTCCCGCTCAGGAGCCCGGGCAGGCTCAGAAGCCGCCGCTTTCTTGCTGTTTCCTGAGGACAGGGCTATTTTAAATAATGCTATTAATTGGCCATCATTAGGCAAATGTGCATATTGAAAGTACATTTACATGTATTACCCTTGAAAGGCTGCTCATCTGCACCCTATCAGTGCCTGTGACATGTTACTGCAATTAATTACCCAGAGATTGTTTCTGGTGACAAATGCGAATGCTTACGGCGCGCTGTACTTTTTGCAGCTTTTGCTTGCAGCCAATGAAACGTCTTCCAGAAACATTCCAGAGGAAAAAGTTGGGGTTTTGTTTAACTGGAGAAATCATTTCTTTTTTCTTTTTCTTTTTCTTTTTTTTTTTTTTTTCTCCAGGTTTAGGCCGATTGCATTTTTCTGCATTCCGCTCATCCCGAGCGCTCTGTAACATACCAGCGCATCTCGCCCTACCGTCTTTGCACATGAGCTAAACTTTAAAAAAGGCCACTTCCATGCACGATTAATAGCAACGGCATTACACACAACATAAGAGGAATTCTGTAATAACCACCTGGATGCTTCATATACGTTTTTCTTGATTTCAAACGAAGGCATAGACGTGCCATCTATAAAACCGGTGAGGATCGCACTGCCCATGGTGACTATTAAGCGCAGAGAGACACTGGATTTATCTGTGCTGCTGCTGCACTCAAGTGAACGGGGGATGTCGGGTGAGGAACATTTCGGACCCTTGGAGGAAAAGCTCTGGGAGGTCGATGGATGCTTTTCCCCAGTTAACACTGCGTTCCTTAGCTGCTGTTTCGCTCTTCCCTAGCGGGATATTTTGGTGGCGGTAAGAGCAGCTCATTTGCCCCCCGGCTGTTCCCTGAGGCTGGACTGTAGGCGGTGCTGGGGCTGACGGGGGCACAACTCGGTCACCCCAAAATGCGAAGGGTGAATCTCTACCTTCAGTCTGATGGCAAGGCAAACACATTGTTCAAGTGCAGCTCAATGGAGTAAATAATAATAAAAGAAACACCCCATCAACTAACAACTTCATTAAAATAACCGGCAGTGTAGCACCTTTAATCCTGTCCCCCTTTACATCACTAAAATCTCAGTTTAAATCGTATCTGGTACTTGATTTGCTGGTTTTGGTCCTTTGGCGTGTTTGCCTTGCAGTCTCCTCAATGCACCAGGGGAAGAAATTTTATTTTGACACTATTTTTGGCATAATAATAGCCAATGTAAACAAATATGTTCATACTTCTTCCATCATTATTTGTCATTCTTGGACGGGGAAACAATGTTGCAGGAACGTCCTTCTAGGCTTTGCAAAGGACGCGTCTGCAGCTGGTTTCATTTTTCCCCACTTCGGGCACGACACGGGGTTTGAACCAGGGGGCAGCTCAACGAGGGGGGCCGCCCTGGCTCCGCTCGGATGATCCCGGCTCCTCTCTGATGATCCCGGCTCATCTCTGACGCCGCCGGCCCCAACGCGCCACACGGGAAGGCGCAACCTGTGCGTGCGGGAGAGCACGGCAGCGTTCGGCGGCTCACCGAGACGTTTTTCCCGCACCGTTTATTTCTCTTATTTCTGCGCGTTTAGGCTTGCGGGCCCCTGTGGCAGCGGGCTCTGACAACCCCAGCGGCCGCCCGCCTCCCAGCGCGGGGCCCGTCTCCGCTTGCGCCGCGCTCGGCTCCGCGGGCGGCGCGTCCCGTCCCGTCCCGTCCCGTCCCGCCGCGTCCCTCCC